AATGACTCCATAGGTTTTATATATAAAATAGTAATAATTAAAGAAGAAACCAGACTATTGAGAGGGAGTTGGGGGGAAGTGGGAAGAGTTGAAATAGAAAAAGGTAGGTGTGGAACTGATGTAAATATAATACTCATGTATGAAATTTTTGGGGGGGGATTTTTTGAAACAGGGTCTTCCTGGAGTCCCAGATGGCCTGAAACTCCCTATATAGACGAGGATGACCTCAATCTTACAGAGATCCATCTGCTGCTGCCTCCTGATTGCTGGGAGAATGCTGGAATTAAAAGTGTGTGCTATCACACCTGGCTTCATGCATGTAATTCTTTTTTTTTTTTAAATTTTTTTATAAGAAGCATTTCATTACAGCTTTAATATGCTGAATTACAGTTTCCAGAGCAAAGATACATCTCTTTCAAAAGTGGCTATAAAATTTTTAGGTTTGCTGTTGAATCAATACAGTTATACAATATTGAACTCAGTATAAGCCCTGCAAGACATAAAATTGAATGAGTTTCTAACCTTCAAAAAAGATCTCCACTTCATTTTTAAATATACGATTTCCTACAGATGCATTGTTTTTGCTAATAACACTGAGATGTAGGCACATGCGTCTTTAATCTGTGTGTATCTGATTATTACTAGTCATAATCAGTTGCACTTGGATCCTTGGCACCTGTGTATGTCTATAAAATCATCAGATATTTTTGGTAATGTTTATCACCTCTACTAATTAACATGATGTAACTTTTTATGCTTCCTCCTCAAATATAATTCATTTTTTAAAATTTGTTGATTTTTTTGTGTGTGTGTATATCACACAGAACATCCCAAACCATCTTATTGCATGTAATTCTTAAAAGAGTAACTTAAAATAGAAAAAGAAGTTAGTTACTTCCCAAGATGCGGAAAATAAGCAATGGTTGGGGATCCAACTACAAATAAGACATTTATATGATTATTTCTAGGGTAAATTTCTAAGGGGGCAGCCAGAAGACAGGGTGAAGGGCTATAGAATGCCTTCTCTAGACTTGATACAGTGATTTAATTCACAACTGCACTTACCTGCACTGGGCCCATACAAAACCTCCTCTATCAATAATCAGTCAAGCAAGAGGGAGGAGCTCATGGGGCTTTATCCTTTACCTCTGAACTATTCACGATTAAGAGACTCTGGGGGAGGGGGAACCATATCTTCAGTTGTGTACTCACTGCTGAGTCCACCAGGCTTCAAAAGATAACATAACTATGGGCACACAGATAACACTGGCTAATCTCAGGATATCACAAAACAAAATAGACAACATGGAAGAGCAAGAGAGATTTGTGGTTTGATATCCTTGGTGTTTCTCTTGGTTTTTCTCTTCATTGTACCTGTTGTCTAATCTCTTTATCTTTTTTTGGTCTTTTTGAGACAATGTCTCCCTTCAACTGGAACTCACTATGTAGACCAGACTGGCCGTGAACTCACAGAGATCAGTTTGCCTCTGCCTCCTGAGTGCTGGGATTAAAGGTGTGCACCACCACACCCAGTTTGTCTAATCTCCTAATCTCTTTACTTTTTAATCAGTTCATTCACATTTTTAAGAAAGTGTTTTATCAAATGTTATATTGATGAGAACAGGAAATAGAACCTGGCCATAGGTTTTAGGTTAGGAGACCCTGAAAGTAAACAGTCTTTCCTTAGCTAAAAGTCAGAAAAATTCCTGGCCCTGTCAGCAGGTCTGTCTTTGGAAGGCCAGAGATGCCAGAAATGGTTAAGTCAAAATGTCTTTGCTTCTGCCCAGGCCAGAGATCAGGGATGCTAGAAAGGAGGTCTGCTTTCTCCTTATCTTTCGTCCCCCAAATGAGCCCTCCTGCAAGGAATCAGTATGTGAAGACCTGACTAAACTGACAGGAAGAATCTGGAAGTATCTGCTCACCCCTCTCCTGTGTCTCACCCCAGTTTCTGGCATAAATCCTTTAAAAAGCCCCTAGACTAGCAGTATGATGGTCTCCTACTTTCTGGGACCCCCTCTTGCTACTGGGGAGCTCTGCCTTCTTTCTCTAAAGCACCCACATAGGAATCTGTAATAAAAATCCTTTCTAATTTCATCCTCCCACAGACTGCTAATTTCATTCTTGGAATTCCTGAGATAAGAACTCAGAAGTCATTGATTCAATGGAAACTTTATGTGACCTTGAGTGTTAGGCACCTGAACTCTGGAGTTAGAGCTCACTAAAACCTTCATTTAGACACTCCATTTTCCCTATATTAATACAACTTTTTAACTTTTCAGTATAAAGATAAGTCAGAGTAGTGGTCTGCTACCTTGCCAGAAATCAAAGCTCCATCTCTGCCCTTCAATCCTCTTAATCCTTAATTGCCATCAACAAGACCAATACTTCTATAAAAAAAAGATTGATACTTATTTTCTGCACAGTACAGCATATTAGGCCTTTTGATAGTGTGTCATAGTTCTGGTTGATCCAGTTTGATGTTTGTTTGTCTTCTGCTCTTTCTTTTCTTATTGTTTCAGTTTAGATAATTTCTATTGACCTATATTCAAGTTCTCTGATTCTTTCCCTAACCTTGTTCAGCCTGCTGCTGTCCCCAATGAACTTAAAAGAAAATCTTTAGCCAGGGGTTCTGGCACATGCCTTTTACTTCCAGCACTCCAGAGGCAGAGGCAGGCAGATCTCTATAAGACAAAGGCTAGCCTGGTCTACATAGTTCCAGGCTAGCTGGGGCTACAGGGAGACCCTGTCTCAAACAAACAAACAAACAAACAAACAAACAAACACACAAATCTTTCATACTGAATTTTTTTTAACACTTGCATTTCAAAATTTCTATCTCTTTTTGTGTGTACTCAACATTTGCATTGGATCCTTAACATATTAATCATAGATATGTTAAACTCTCCTGTGCTGGAATTACAGGTGTGCACCATCATGCTGTGCTGTGTAGTT